TGAAAACTGTTAGAGTCAGTGATATTGAATTTAAAATCTTATATAAAAACTGTTAGAGTGAGTGATATTGAATTTAAAATCTTATATAAAAACTGTTAGAGTGAGTGATATTGAATTTAAAATCTTATATAAAAACTGTTAGAGTGAGTGATATTGAATTTAAAATCTTATATAAAAACTGTTAGAGTGAGTGATATTGAATTTAAAATCTTATATAAAAACTGTTAGAGTGAGTGATATTGAATTTAAAATCTTATATAAAAACTGTTAGAGTCAGTGATATTGTAAACTTGGAAATAAAAAAACATTTACTAAGGTTATGTATTAGTATTATTGGTAGTTGTCCTTGAAAAATTTCCCTCATTGTACACTGCTTGTTCAGTTTATCTTTATATGAATAATATAAAACTCAGTAATAAAGGTAATAAACAAGTTGACATTATAAAACTAGCTACAAATTGACAGGGTTTGAAATGAGAACTTTAAAACTAAATTTAATTTGTTTTTAACAGTTAATTCTTCACTATAACTTATACAATTTAAATTTTATATTAAATCAAGAGAGATAACTCATGGTTTATTTTGACATTTTATGAACCTTGATGTTTTACAGTCTTCACTTAATTTCATTGTTAAAATTTAGAACTGGAATAATTTTTTAATGTAGTTAATTTCATTGTTTAAAATTTACAACTAGAATGATTTTTTTTTATGCCTGTAAAATTTTCAACTAAATAAAGTGAATTTTTTTTAATGTCCTTATTTTTATTGTTAAAATTTCAAAACAGGAAAGATCTTTATAAACCTAGTGAATTGACAGTTTTAAACATGTATTGTATTATTGAGTAAAGAAATAGGTCTGGTATCTGTCAGAATATTGTTACTGTTGACAGTTTAATATTAATATTAACAATAGAAGTTTATAGATACCAGTATACCCCCTACCTTCACTATCTATTACTTTATATTGTTCACTTCGTTAAATCTCTTCTCTAGCATCTACAGTGTTAAATCTCTTCTCTAGCCTCTAGTTGATATCTAAAGACCTGCGTTGCCTTGCAGTGTACAATGAGTTAACCATTTGGAATTCCAATAATGTTTTTGGCTGTTTTTCTATTATCTAGAAACTGTTAATGAAAGGTTTAATAAACCACTATCTATGTTATTATGAGTTAACCCCAAGGATTCTTCAACAAATAACTGTATCATTTATAAACCTAATATTGTCCAGGCTAATCAAACAGACCCTAGGGAGTCTCAAAGGGTTAATGTTAAACTGAACTGTATTGTGTTTAAAGGAAAAGTCAAACAGACCCTAGGCTTCGTGCCCTGTATTTAACAGCCCCCAAAGGGTTAATGTTAACAGCCTCGTTTTAAACCCAATATTGTCCCTAATCTATGAGACCCCTTACAGTAAAACCCTGTATCATGTATAATGATATTGGATTAACCCTAACAGTGCCATGTATTATATTAAATATAATGTTTATATTAACCCTGGTAGAGAACAGATGTTTAACAGTTGGTTATCAGCAATCTTCTTTCTACCTAATTCAACTCCCTAATTTTAACTTCAGATGGGATGGAGGTTCTTTCTTTGGGCCATATTCTCAACTACAGACATCACTCTACCCCACTCTACAGACATCACTCTACCCCACCCTACAGACATCACTCTATCCCTCACTACAGACATCACTCTATCCCGCCCTACAGACATCACTCTACCCCACCCTACAGACATCACTCTACCCCACCTTACAGACATCACTCTACCCCACTCTACAGACATCACTCTACCCCACCCTACAGACATCACTCTACAGACATCACCCTACAGACATCACTCTACCCTACCCTACAGACATCACTCTACCCCACCCTACAGACATCACTCTACAGACATCACCCTACAGACATCACTCTACCCCGCCCTACAGACATCACTCTACCCCACCCTACAGACATCACTCTACAGACATCACCCTACAGACATCACTCTACCCCACCCTACAGACATCACTCTACCCCACCCTACAGACATCACTCTACCCCACTCTACAGACATCACTCTACCCCACTCTACAGACACCACCGTACAGACATCACCCCTCAGGCATCACTCTACCCCGCCCTACAAACATCACTCTACCCCACTCTACAGACATCACTCTACCCCACTCTACAGACACCACCGTACCGACATCACTCTACAGACATCACTCTACAGACATCACCCTACAGACATCACTCTACAGACATCACCCTACAGACATCACTCTACAGACATCACTCTATACCTCTCCGCCTGTATTCTTACAGAATTGTGAGGAATAATAATCAAGGCTAGTACATGTGTTTTGAGTAGATATTATTTATTTGTATTATTTACTTACTGAAAGTCATAGCTAGACACTTTCCACCAGTATTAAGTCATAGCTAGACACTTTCCACCAGTATTAAGTCATAGCTAGACACTTTCCACCAGTATTAAGTCATAGCTAGACACTTTCCACCAGTATTAAGTTATAGCTAGACACTTTCCACCAGTATTAAGAGATGATTTTCTCTGAATTTATCTAGTCTTTAATAAACAATGAAATAGAACCAGAAACTAAAAGAAATTTTAACTCTATTTTTATATTTGAGACTTTCTAGTGAAGATTGACTCATGTTATTATGACAAGTATAATTTGTCTTCTGTCCCCTGGGTCTGAGAGTTGATACCCTGGCCCTGAAGTTTCTATCAATCTTACACACTCCCCCTGTCAGTCTGACACTATTGTTAATACAGAATATCATATTCTACTGTATAAATTATCAAGTCTGGTTATAGTCAGACACCCCTCAACTTTCTATTCAACTCTTCCACACATGCATACTTTCTATTAATATGAAACTGTATATGTATGATTGGAAGAGTTCAATTGTAAAAGTAGGGTTGATTTTTTATGCCTGTCAAGTTAAATTCCACATTACATAGGAGTCCACTACTATACATTTATTTCTTCCAACTTTGCCGTACTATGGAAGAGATTTTGATTAATAGAATTGTCTAGCTTGTATGGAGGTGTATTTATTTCATTTTTTTATCCAACTGTTACATCAATTATCAATAAATTTTAACTTTTTATTTTATTTTAGAAATTATCAGGAAAAGTCTTTTATAAAGTCAAATTTTTAACATTTTTCAACTTTTGATTTATTTAACTTTGTAACTATCAGGTTGAAAAATAACATTTGTTTAAAAAGTAAGTTGTAAACTAGAAATAACTTTGTGTTATCTTTTTTACAATCAGTTACCGGTACAGTATTTATATTCTAGGAAATTTAAAATATTAAAGATTTACTGATAAATAGTTTAATACATGATTTTAAACTTATTAATAATTGAAATATGTATAAAAGACAATGAAAAATGGTAAGTTTTAGATGTAATGCCCTGCTACAGTTAGTAATATACAGTAATGAATTGATGAATATGCAAATGAACATAAAAATGATATTATTACACTTAAATTTGAATTAATGAATGAATTAATGAATGAATTAATGAATGAATATGATTTGATTCAATGACTTTATGGATGAATGGTTGAATAAATGCACAAATGAATGAATGAATTGATATTCTAGAAGCAGAGCTCAGGTATACTTGTGATTGAATAGAAAGAATGAAAGAGGGGTGAATGAATGAATGAATTAATATTCTAGAAGCAGAGCTCAGGTATACTTGTGATTGAATAGAAAGAATGAAAGAGGGGTGAATGAATGAATGAATTAATATTCTAGAAGCAGAGCTCAGGTATACTTGTGATTGAATAGAAAGAATGAAAGAGGGGTGAATGAATGAATGAATTAATATTCTAGAAGCAGAGCTCAGGTATACTTGTGATTGAATAGAAAGAATGAAAGAGGGGTGAATGAATGAATGAATTAATATTCTAGAAGCAGAGCTCAGGTATACTTGTGATTGAATAGAAAGAATGAAAGAGGGGTGAATGAATGAATGAATTGATATTCTAGAAGCAGAGCTCAGGTATACTTGTGATTGAATAGAAAGAATGAAAGAGGGGTGAATGAATGAATGAATGAAAACTTATGTTTACCAATGTAAAAAAAAAGGGAAGAAAGAGATGAGTGAATGAATGAATGAATGAATATTAGTATAAAGTTACCAGTAGAAGAAAGGTAATGAGAGATATAAATTATATTTAAAGAAAGTTAGCTATGAAGAAAGGTAATGAGAGATATAAATTATATTTAAAGAATGTAACTATGAAGAAAGGTAATGAGAGATATAAATTATATTTAAAGAAAGTTAACTATGAAGAAAGGTAGTGAGAGATATAAATTATATTTAAAGAAAGTTAACTATGAAGAAAGGTAATGAGAGATATAAATTATATTTAAAGAAAGTTAGCTATGAAGAAAGGTAATGAGAGATATAAATTATATTTAAAGAAAGTTAACTATGAAGAAAGGTAGTGAGATATATAAATTATATTTAAAGAATGTAAGCTATGAAGAAAGGTAATGAGAGATATAAATTATATTTAAAGAAAGTTAACTATGAAGAAAGGTAGTGAGAGATATAAATTATATTTAAAGAAAGTTTATATTATTATCACAGTGGCAAACTTCTTATAGAAATATTTTATTAAAAACATTAATCATATGATTCAGTGAGTTTTTAAAAAACTAAATAAAAAAACCCACTTTGTATAAAATAGATAATTGATGTTATTTCAGTTTAAAATTGAACATTGAATAAATATATTTTTGAAGATTTTGAATAAAAGATAAAATATTATAATTGTAAAATATAATTTAAGTATTTATATTATCAAGTGAAGAAGTTTGTTTTTAAAAATGACATCTAGTCCATCTTATCTCTTAGAAAGAAATTTGATTGGCTAGACTTTTAAAATATTCAAATTATGGAGTGAATAAGTTTGTTTAAAGGGATAGGTGCATCATTTTGGGGGTTGATTTGAGTCTTGAATATATGTAAACAGTCTTCAGAAGTAAATCACATAATTCCTTTAAAAATACTTCAAATTAGGAAAAGTTAGAAGATAAGAACCTAGGATATCCTAGAAACAGTGTTAGAAGATAAGAACCTAGGATATCCTAGAAACAGTGTTAGAAGATAAGAACCTGGGATATCCTAGAAACAATGTTAGAAGATAAGAACCTAGGATATCCTAGAAACAGTGTTAGAAGATAAGAACCTAGGATATCCTAGAAACAATGTTAGAAGATAAGAACCTAGGATATCCTAGAAACAATGTTAGAAGATAAGAACTTAGGATATCCTACAAACAGTGTTAGAAGATAAGAACCTAGGATATCCTAGAAACAGTGTTAGAAGATAAGAACCTAGGATATCCTAGAAACAATGTTAGAAGATAAGAACCTAGGATATCCTAGAAACAGTGTTAGAAGATAAGAACCTAGGATATCCTAGAAACAGTGTTAGAAGATAAGAACCTAGGATATCC